ATATGGTTCACAACGATTAGTTTTCTAATACAGAAACAGTCTTGGATTCTGGAGTAAAGTCCACTTGGTTATGGTGCATAGTTTTGTACAGTATGTCATTGCCCATGTGCCCCCACCCAACCCTCGGGAACTACGTTCTACGATCTTTACTGGTATCTGAAACTGTGGTATGGATACTATTATACTGTGTATATAGCTAACTTTCCCCCTATATATAAATATTGATAATCTGTTTAACTGAACAGTAAGAGATTAGCAGAAGTTAAACAGCTTTAACAATATATTATAATAACGTTTACATGGCTTATCTCTCTCAACATACTTTATCATATTGTACTCCTGTGATGATGATTTGAGGTGGCTCACTGCCTACAAGATGAGATTAGATGAGGTGAGGTGGGGTGAATGAAGACAATTGGGCATTTTAATATAGCATCGGAATGCCACATGAGGGTTACCTGAACACAGTCCAGCGCTACACAGCTCCTGAGATAGCTAACATGAAGTAATTACTAAACAGAACAAAGGGTTCCTTGTCGGATGAGAAGGTGGCATTTATCATGCTGCTCAGAATGGTACAGAATAGGTTTTTTGTGTTTTTTCATTGAATTTGTGTGCTTTGTATGAATTTGTATATATTGTGTGTACTTATTGGCTTATGAGTGGGAGCTATAGAAGGACTTGACACGTTTTGCTTTATTCACTTGAAACAGTCTCTTACCGTACCTGTAACATGGTCATTTCAGCTATGCTGGCTATTGAGTTGCTGGGGCCAGACTCTCTCCACCTTCTAATGCTTGGACTACAGGCATGCATGGACATGCCAGGGTGTGTGTGTGTGTGTGTGTGTGTGTGTGTGTGTGTCTGCACAGCGTGTGTGTGTCAGGAGTAACATCTGGATTTTAATTTCAAGTCCTCATGCTGGCACAACAAACACTCTTACTCACTGACCAATCACCCCAGCCCCCATTTAATACTTTTAGACTGCAGTTGACAGTGGGTAGAAGCTTGGAAAGAAAAGCTCCTGATAGGGAAGAATTACTATATATTGAATATTATTTGGTAATTTTTTTGCTTAAGAGTTTCCACATCTACCGGGCGATGGTGGCGCACGCCTTTAATCCCAGCACTTGGGAGGCAGAGGCAGGTGGATCTCTGTGAGTTCGAGGACAGCCTGGTCTACAGAGCTAGTTCCAGGACAGGCTCCAAAGCCACAGAGAAACCCTGTCTCGAAAAACCAAAAAAAAAAAAAAAGAGTTTCCACATCTGTGCCATAGGGAATATTGGCTTGTAGTATTCTTGTTACTTACCTTCTCTTATTTTTGAAAAGAGGTGATGTTATGATTTTTTCCCCCAGACATTAGAAAATTTCTCCATTTAAATCTGACAGGAAAACACTTAAATTTCAAATTTAATTTAATGATGAAATTTAATTTCATCATTAGTTATAGTATTGTTAACTTCTGTTGTTTAAGACATAGTAATTTGGTTTTCAGCTCAATCAGGTAATCTAAATGAACAGATTTATATATTTCCAGTTATTCTTTTTCTTGTTATGTTATAGACCGTGTTATTGCCATTTTGATTTCCAGTATAAGAAGTTTGTGACCTCCTTTGTTTTTCTGTGTTTATTTTTTTCTGTGTTTTGTTATTTATGCTGATTTTGCTTTCAAATAGATTGAGAACTGAATTTTATTGTTTTGCCTTTTTTCAGTTTTATCAACTTTTATTCTTTTTAAAATTGTTTTTCATTTTATGTATAAGTGTTTTGCCTGCATATCTGTGTTCACATGTGCACAGCGCTAGCAGATGCCAGAAGAGGACATTGGATCCCCCTGGGCCTAGACTAGAGTTACAGATAGTTGTGAGCCCCTGTGTGGGTGCCAGGAATCAAATACGGTGTTTTTGTTGTTGTTGTTGTTGTTGCAAGGACAATAAGTGTTCTTAACCACTGGACCATCAGTTTCTTTTCTTTGTTACTTCCTCCTTGTTTTGTCTGGTCCCCAACCCCCAGTCTAGCAGTTCTTGCTTAAAAATATATAAATAAATAAGTAAGTAAGTAAGTAAGTAACGCATTTGTCTTTAAATCTGAAGGAGTCATTTGAGGTATATAATTGGAAGATTTTCAAAGTTCATCTTGCCAATTTCTGACTTGTTTGGGAAGTTAACTAGTGAGAAACTGAATTTAGCAGTCACATGAGATTGTAGGGGACATTTCATACTCAAACCATGGCATTCTGCTACTGGCTCTCCATAAATTTATGGTCAAATACATACAGCTCAACTTTGAAAGTCCCAAAGTCTACAGTTTCAGCTTTGTTTAAAAATCCAGCCTTTTCTGAGACTCAAGGCAATCTCTTAAATGTGAGTCCCTATAAATTAAAAAGAAATCAGGTTTCAGTCTACAGTGACAGAGAATAATCACTCCTATTCCAAAGGGAGGAATGGAGACCTAACATGGAAAGACCAAGCCCAGTATCCCATGTCTGGCATCAGAACCCTTATGTGGGTCCCACTGGTCTTTAGGTGACCTCACTCTATACCTCTATTCCTTGCAGCACACATGACCTTTTTTTGGACCAGCTTCTCTCTGTAGACATCCTGTATTGCTGACATTTTTAGTACATTGGGGTCATCACTGAAATTTAGGCTTTACCTTAGTTTTACACAGTGGCCACACAGATTCTCCTTGCAGTGGATTTGCTCTTGCTACACATTGCTTGACCTCTTCTGAAACATTGGTGTAAGTCTTCATGACCCTTAAACCCTTGTATTTTTCATGCCTGCAAAATTGGACTCCGAGTTCTGCTGTGGCTGTAGTGGCCACATGTCTTCATAGCTTAACCCAGGCAGTAGATTTCTCCAGGCAGCCATTTTTTGAGCAGAGGACTCTTACAGAGGTATTCTCGTTTTTCAGACATTCTGCTGTCAAATGAGTTTTTCAAACAAATGTTTAGTTTTACAATGCTGAGTCTTTTATAGATGGGATGTTGCCATTAAAACACCATGGATGTGTAGTTGTTTTCAGAAACAAGAAGAGGGTTTGCATTCCTGGAGCTAGAGTTGCAGGTAGCCATGAGCTGCCCAATATGCAAGCTAGGAACCAAATTTTCATCTTCTTAAGGATCAGCAAACACTCTTAACCCATGAGCCAACTCTTAAGCCTAACAAAACTATTTTTAATGTGTCATTACAGCGTGCAGTTTCTTCTTTACTGTCCTTACTTCCTTAACATTTGCAGCAGCTTTGTCATGTCTGTCTGCCACTTCTAACACCCTTTTCCTTATCAAATTGCACATTTTACATATTCTTCTCTGTTTTCTGCTTAGAGTTCTTGCTATAAAGCAGGCGAAAGGCAATGAGCACTCCCCATGCAGTAACCTGAATGCTAGGATATCTTGAAGTTTCCTTCTCCAAACAAATTAGTTCATTACTTTTGAATTCAGCCTCATTAAAATTCTCAGATAGAATGTAGCCAGATTTTTTTCCCCCAGAATGTAACATGGTTAGCTTTTGGTCTAGTTCCTATAGAATCTTTGTTTTCCTATGGAACTTTATGAACACAATGTTTACTACCTCTATTTCTGCTGGCATCATAATTTCGGACTTCCCTGGCTCCTAACAGAATGCGCTCTTGCTCCCTAGTACCTGTTTGTAAACTCTTTTACATTCCTCCTGCAAGCCAGTTCCAACAGCCTGTCTGCACTGCATGGGTTGTTACAGCAGCGGTGAGCACATACCTGAAGGAAGTAACTTAAGGTGGCAGAATTTATTTTGATTCATAGATAGAGGGGGTAGCGTCCATCGTGGTAGGGAAGGTATGGTAGCAGAAGCACGTGGCAGCTGCTCATACAGGACCCGGCTGTAATCAAGTGCAAATTGCATGATACTTTGAAATATGAATCGTTAGAGATCATTTCATTGGTTATAAGCCTCGTCTGACTGCCTTAAGCAAAACTATAACTTACTGGAAGAATGAGGTAGCTTGTGGATGAGGGTGTGGGCATTCTTGATTCTATGTCCATTTTCTTCCTAGGGAATTTAACGGCACCCCCTTGTTTAGAACCCACGAGTTTACTACAGGTGATCGTTTCTGTGGTATTTGTCAAGAGACAAGATAGGAGAGAGTGAGGCAGTTTAGATTTCCTACGCAAAATATACAGAAGCGAGGACACAGCTCACACGCTCACCTCCCCCCCCACAACCATCACCACCACTACCAACAATAGCAACAAAACATACACACACATGCAATTTGGATAGAATAGTAGTTCATTGATAGCCAATCTACTCCTCAGTTTATACAAATCAACCAACAGATGTTTGATAAAACAATGTCAGCCCCCACCCACTCTAAGACAGGGTCTCCCTGTTTAGCCCTGGCTGTCCTGGAACTCACTTTGTAGACCAGGCTGGCCTTGAACTCACAGGGATCCACCGGCCACTGAGTGCTGCGATTAAAGGCGTGCGCCACCATTGCCTGGCTCAGTTGTCATCTTTTTAGCTAATTACAGTTCATTATTTAAAAAAGAATTGATCAGGTAGATGCAATGGCACAGGCTTATGATCTTAAACTTGGAAGGGAGCTGGAATAGGAGTTTGAATTTAAGGCCAGCCTGGGTTATGTAGTGAGATCCTGTCTCAAAAACAAACAGATTAAATAAATAATACAGTTTTTAATTTTTAAGATTAAATTTGGGAGCTGAAGAGATGACTTAATAGTTAGGGGCTTTGGCTGCTCTTGCAGAAGATACAGGTTCAATTCCTGACATCACCTGGTGGCTCGCATTCTTCTGTAGTCCTAGGAGATTCAGTGCCCTCTTCTGGCCTCTGTGGGCACTGTATACATGTGATACAGAGACATATATTCAGGTAAACGTACATATAAAATAAACCTCAAAAACTTTTAAGAAGATTAAGTTGATTCTTAAAAAGAAACAGTTTGCGTATTAGCAGTACTAATACTTTGATACTAATGTGATATTTATTTTTATTTGTAGACAATGCGAAGACACAGAAATGAAGTGACAGTTGAACTCCGGAAGGTAAGGGGAGTGTGCATCTCAAGAAGTGAGTTAAGGTATTATTCTGGTTGGGGATGTGACACCTCATTCATGTGATCACAACACTGGGGAAGTAAAGGATGGAAGATTGAGGACAAGGGTCATCTACTACAGAGCAAATTTAAGGTCAGGCTCGGCTACATGAGACCCTGTCTCAAAAAACTGGTACACAGAGCAAGGGGTAATTTTTTTCTATGTGAAAATTGTGTATAACTTGAATTATGAAAATACTTTGGCCAACCAGTAATCCCTAAAACCACTCAGTACAGCCACACCAGGGCTGCCAAGGTGGCTTGGCATGTAGAGGCACTTTTTGTACGGTAGAAGGAGAGAACTTATTCCACAAGCTGTCCTAATTTTCACACATCCTTCATAGTACACGTTCTCACACACATACCGTATACAAACTCACAGTAGTACTAATAAATAAAAATTCATATAACTAAATAGTTCATAATTCTATACAGTCAGCATCTATTTTGCTAAGGCTTCTGGGTATTTTGAGAAACACTTTGTCACTGTTAAAATTCCACAACATTTAAGAAAGATGCTCTCTTAATCCTCTCTGGTCTGTGTATGGTAGGTGCCCTCCCTATTTCCACGTCCTTCAATAGGAGAAAACTTATTTGTTGCTAACTGAATGCAAGTGGTGTCAAGATTATTTTCTTTTATTTTATTTGGAAGAGTTTAGAGAGTTACCTTGGTCTGAATAAGAATGGATCCCATAGGCTCATATTTTAATGCTTATGGGAGTGATACTAGGAAGTGTAGCCTTGTTGGAGGAAGTGTGTCACTGGGAGTGGGCTTTGGGGTTTCAAGTGCCCAAGCCAGGCCCAGTGGCTTTCTTCCTGCTGCCTGCTGATCTAAATGTAGAAGTCAGCTACCTCTCCAGCACCATGTCTGCCTGCATGCCTCTGTGCTTCCTGCCATGATGTAACAAATTAAACTTCTAAACTTTACGTCAGCCCCAATTAAATGTTTTCCTTTACAAGAGTTGCAGGGTCATGCTGTCTCTCCACAGCAATAGATAGAATTTGACTAAGATAGTTATCTTCACCAGATTCTATTTTGATGTAAACCTATTTTATAGGAATTTAAATTGCCAACCAAGAAAGTATATTTATTTCTCTTTATACTTGTGTTTTCTAAGAATATATTTGGAACTTACTTCAAATCTTGGTATCTTAAATTAGATCCTTTTTCTGGATTAACTCATTCCTAAAATTCCTTTCTCTGTTAGATTAACATTATGAAGCTTTTCAGTCTTAAAGAAAAAAAAATGTGTCTATATGTACTGCTTACCTGACTTCTGGTTCCTGTTATGTGAACCCTTGTTTCCATTTTATCTCCTTACTCTCTTTGTTAAGTCTGTATGCAGATGTTGTACAAATGATTCTCAGACATCTATACTTCTGGTTTCTCTCATGTGGACAGTTACATAGGAATTAAATATTTTAGCTCAAGTCATTAGCTGACAAATGACAAAACTTTTAACCATGATGCTGTAATATGTCTGAGTGTAAGTGTTCAAGGAGTAATATTTTATAAGTTGAGAACCAACTTAAAACTTGTTACTGGTATTTCCCACTTTGATACATTATATTAAACTTACAATCTGTTTTTGATGGTTGATCAGTTAGGTAAGCTAAAGTGAGACAAATTAAGGTCTTAGTGTAAGAAATCACTAAATGCCTCATTTGCCTGATCAGATTCATTGTTTGTATCAGTTAGTTGTTTCTCTTCTTAAAATGTTTCTTTTAAAAAATACTCTTTATTGTAGATCAGTGAGGTGGTTCACCAGGTTAGGGCACTTGCACCAAGTTTGATAACTTGAGTTTGATCCCCAGAACCTAGCTAAATGTGGAAGGAAAGAACTAGCTCTCTCTCAGCCTGTCCTTTGACCTCCACCTGAGCACAATGGCATGTACATATACCCTCTACACACAGAGTATTACAAATTGAACTGAATGTGGTAGCCTACACCTATAATCCCAGTGCTTGTAAGGTTGAGACAGAATTGCCATAAGTTCAAGCCTGAGTTTGTGAAACCTCAAAAGAATAAAACGACTGTCTTAGTGTTCTATTGTTGTAAAGAGACACCATGACCATGGGGCTTGCTTACAGTTTCAGATGTTTAGTTCACTGTCAGCGTGGCAAGAAGCATGGGCACATAGGCAGATGTGGTGCTGAAGAGTATTCTACATCCTGATATGCAGGAAGCAGGAAGAAGAGAAAGCCAAGAGAGAGCCACTGGGTTTGACTTGGGCTTCTGAAACCTCAGCCCATCCCCCCACTGACACACTTTCTCTGTCAAGGCCACATCTACTCTTAACAGGGCTGCACCTCTTAATCCTTTCAAATGGTTTCACTCCTTAAACGTTCAAATATATATGAGCCTATGGGGGGCATTTTTATTTAAACCACTTCAACAGCCTTGCCTTGAACTTTCTCTATATTTGCAAGGTATACAGGAAAAATTATAAGATTATATTGGTTAGTTGGGCAAAGCATTTTGCAAAATCTACTGCCCATTTCTGGTTAAATGACTAAACACATGCAGAATGAGAGGAATTATCACATTTGATGAAGAGCAACCACAAACTTTGTACTTAGTGGTGAGAAACTGAAATCTTTCCCTAAGATTTGTAGGCAAGTTATCTATTCTTTCCCTAAGATTTGTAGGCAAGGATCCATTCTTACTGCTGTTAATTATTATACTGTTAGAAGTTCTAATCGATGCCAGAAGAGAAGGAAGGTACGAAGAAAAGCAAGGAAAAGATAGCTTTATCCATGTCAAGACAGTCTGTATGGGAAAATCCTAAAATACTCACTTTTAAGGCTTCTGGGGCTGAGAAAGTAAATGCATTGGTAGTAGAGTGCTTACTAGCCTGTAAGAAGCCCCATGTTCTACCCCAGCTCCATATAAACCAGTTGTGATGCCTACCAGTGATCCCAGCACTTCAGGGTAAGGATGTCGCAGCCATCTTCAGCTACATAGCAAGTTTAAGGGTCAGCCTGTGAATATATGAGACCTTATCTGTAATTGGTCTTTGTACTGCCAGCTCATGAATAACGACACAGAGACTTTTTATTAAGTATGAAAGTTTGGTCTTAGCTTAGACTTGTCCCAACTATCTCTTGAAACTTAACCCATTTATATATTAATCTATAGTCTGCCACATGGCTAGTTACTTTTCTTCAGTACTGTGCATCTTACTTCCTCCACCTCTCAGATCCTGCCCCAGAATTTCTGTCTCTCCCCGGAAGTCCCACCAATCCTTTCCTGCCTAACTATTGGCCATTCAGCTCTTTATTAAACCAATCAGAAGGTACCTTAGGCCAGTGAGGTTAAGCAGAAACACAACTTCACACAGTCTAATAAAAGATTATCCCAACACCTATCTCAAAAAAAATAGATATTAGAAGATCTAGACTGTAAATGAATTTGATAAACATAATGTTTAGTTCATAAAAAAATCAGTATAAATACTAACAACATGCAGAAACAGGATTAAAAACAGTACCATTTATAGTTACCCCAAAGAAATGAAAATACAGGAGGTGGCAAGATGGCTCAGTGGTTAAGGCATTTATTGGCAAGTCTGATGACCTAAGTTTGATTTTCAGGATGCAGATGGTGGAAGGAGAGAAGCAACTCCTGTGTATTGTCCTCTGTTCTCCACACCTGTATTGGTACACACACAGACAGACACACACAAATACATAATAAAAACATGTAGAAGTTCTGTATACTGAAAACTATGACATGCTAATGAAAGGAAGGAAGACTTATGTAAACAGAGTTAAGTATACTATATTCAGACTGGAAACCTCAACACAGTGAAGATTCTATCCCATATTGATCTGTTGGTTTAATACATTATCTAGCAAGAATTTTTATAGACACTGGAAAGCTTACTTTAAAATGTACTCTAGGATAGCTAATACAGTCTTGGCAAAAAAGGAAAAGGAAACAGGAATTGGTTTTCTCATTGTGGAAGCTTATAGTATATAGTGAATAGTAACCAATACTTTACTACTAGTAGGACAGTTCCACAGATCCATGGCACAGAGGTAAACTCTGAAATAGACCCAAGTCCCCTGTAGATTTCTTACTTATGTATGTATTTAATGGTTCTATGAATTGAACCTAGGTAGCACATGTTAAGCCTCTGCCGCCAACCCATAGCCTTAGTCCCCAGCTGATTTTAGTACAAACCATTTCAATGGAAGATGGATACCCTTCTCATCAAGGGGCACCAAACAACTGAACACCTATATAGCACCTCAGGTTGTTGGAGTGGTGGCTCAGTGGTTAAGAGCACCAGCTGCTCCTCTAGATGATCTTGAGTCTCAGCACCCAAGTGGTACATCATAGCCATCTGTAATTCCAGCCCCAGAACATTAGATGCCCTCTTCTGGCCTCTGGGAATCAGGCACATACATGGTACATAAACATAATATGCAAGTAAAACATTTATATAAATAATAATATTTTAAAAAACAACAAAAATATACCTCAACCCAGACATCATACTATATGCAAAATTCAGACTCAGGTAATACATTTAAACATAAAAGTATAAAATTTGTAGAAAAAATAAAGGAAATGTTCATAATCTAGGGCCAGACATAGACTTATGAGTGGGTTACAAAATCATAATCTATAAAAAGACAAGCTGTGGGTGAGTCTCTGGCCTTTCCATCCACACCTCCCCAACCTAATAGATCTAGCCCATTTCCCACATCTAGTACTGGCCACCCCACTTGTTCTTGAAGCACCTTCTAGGCTTCCACTCAAACATGCCCTACCTGCTACCACCCTCAGGCCCCTTCTGCACCAAATCCAACCTTTTTACCCTGCCAGAACTTCCCTTCCTTTTCTAGGGTCTAGCCAGGTGAGTTTCCCCGACCTCCACATATAGTACCTTGGTCTAGTCTAGCCTCACCTGCCTGTGCCATGCTGATCTCTAGGCTTCTTC